AAAAACTGACCAAATTTGATCAACTCTTTCCCACCCTGTTTTCAATATGCATATTCTCCCTAAAGTTCTAAATATATAATTTTCAAGGCTACTGAGCAGAAGAATTAGAGAATAAGGGTTTCTTGACCCTTTGAACCTTAACATCAGTATGCATATTCTCCATACTATTTTTAATACATTTCCCAAGGCGCTGACAAGGAGAATTTGATAATTATCTTCATTAGTTAGTGATCATTTCATTTATTCTTGGGACCTTAATGCTTGATTCAGGGGTAATATTGTAAAGAGAAATTAGATGCTAGTCACTGTGAGGGGTTGAAGGGTTAACCCTTTAACTCCCATGAGTGACCAAGAGAGAATTTCTCCTTACGATATCAAGACAATATCAAGCAGACGAGTGAAGAGAATAAAGAAAAATATCAGCTAGGGGACTATAAGCTGATCCATTACCAAATTCTCCAAAATAACATCACAAGAACTGTATGGGAGACAGTAAAGAGAATTTCTAATGAGATCTTGGGTGTTACAGGGTTAAGCTGGTGATCATTCCCTCTTTGACCAATTCACTACCAAGATCTCAGAAGTGATTCTCCTTGCTGTCTGCCATACATTTCTTGTGATGTTAGTTTGGAGAATGTAGTATTACATCAACTGATAATCCCCTTGTAGATATTTTCCTTTATTCTCATAACTTATCTGCTTAATATTGTATTGATACTGTAAGGAGAAATTCTGTCTTGGTCACTCATGGGAGTTGAAGGGTTAGGAGAAATAATAATAATATAACATCCTTTATTTAAACACGATAGGGTTTAAAGCTCAAAGCTTAAGGGGTCGTCTGAAATTAGGTGCGGTTCACTCACATGGATTGAAGGGTTGGAGTTATACAAGCAAAGAATGACATCTAAAAATTTGGACATCTTTGCTCGTCTTTTTTTTCTCTTCTGAGGCAATTTCATTTGTTGGAACCATCCGTTGTTTCCTACGCACTGTGAATTTCATTACTTTAGTTTGAGAAGGGCGATGCGCATTCCCACTGTCTTACGTTGATAAAACACACCAAAAAGATAAAATCGAAGCCATTTTTCCTCATCAAGACCATATTTCACGCTGCTGTTTCGTGGCGAAGTTGTGGTTATACGGTAAGGTTATGACTGAGCTGTACTTACCTCTGGTTCGTGAACAAAAACTGATGAATACAACAATCTACAGGGTCCAGGAACAAGTGTGTGAATTATGAGCGCGTAAACCATCGTTGCAGTTTGTATCGTTCCATTCCACTACATTTTCGAGCGAAGATACAACCTACCACATCCGAGAAATTTCTTTCCTCGCTCGACTCCTCGATCCTCTTCCTTACTGTCTTACTAAAATCGAATATTGGGGTCAGCGTTGTATAAAACGTAACAAAAAAGACGTCAAATATGGTATCTGTTACGTCCCAAAGCAAATGACCCCGTTCAGGAGCCCTAGTCTTGCCCGTTTGAGGTTGGGGAAAAATCTGGATAGTGCCTATTACTATAAACTGCCGTTTATAGGTTACAGATTCATCTATCTGTAAGCCAGGAAAATACTGTATATCGTGATTTTGTGAAATGTCGTTACGAAGAACGTGTTATTAAGATTGACATTTTTGAAGGCGTGTCGCTTAGATGTGTTTCATTAAGCACTACGACAAAA